GCACACGGACCCTCAAAGTATGTAGCAACAGCAACTGAAATTTTTCAGCTAAAAGAGAATTTCCCATGACACCTGCTAGCTGTGGAATGTGAAGTGAGGCATAAATATAAGTGAATTAAGTCTCAAGAGGTTGCCTGTTGATTGTCAGTAAAATTATGAAAAGCATCTAAGTCACCTAGACTCCTTTAGCCTCTTGATCTTTATGTATCTTTATGTAGAAGGTCTTTATTTGATCTTAATTAAAACCAGTTCTCCATGAAGTCATTACTTCATGGTTGGAATAATACTTGCATGTGATCCCATATCACCTTGTAATCTCTTTTAATATCATCAAGTGTTTGTGGGTATGTGTGTATAAATTTTTGCGTAAGAATTTGTGAATCTAGGCCAGTAACGTTAAATTAGATTTGTCATTGTATTGTTCTTTATTTCCCTAGCCTATTATTCTCATGTTTTAACAGTACTTTGCAGGTCAAAGGAAAATGAGATTATATGGAAAAGAGGGGGGGGATAAAAGGCAGCTGTGCTCCATGCTGTCTCAAGCATTTAAAAGAAACTCATCCTCATGACTGTTTTTGTTACCACAGCAGTTAGAAATGCAAAGTCTCTATTTAGTCACAAACATTTCTTAAACAAAAGGAGAATTTAGGATTCCTGATTGTTATATTGTAACATTTAGGTCTACCAGAACTGCAGTGGAAACATACTTGCTGCCACGGGCTATCATCCATCTTCCCAGCCAATGGTCAGTAGTAGCTTCTTGAGTGGCATTGCAGAAATCAGTAGGGTTTAATGAATACAATCCTGATAGAGCATGTGTGATGGTTTCTAACCTTTAGCCTGTGAGCGCCACTTTCACATTTTTGATCTTCATGTTTGGCTCATTTATTATCATTGCCAAGTGTCTGAAATATACACATGCATGTGCATGATACCATGTCAGGCAAGAAACCCTATGTCATCATGCAAGCAGGAGATGGAGGTGTAAGAAGCTGTGACTTCTCTGAAGTCAGCGTGCAACCAGGCGTAGTGCACAGCAAGGACCTCAGTCTCTGCTTCTCCTGTTGCTTGTAAGGGATGGGACCTCCCTGATGTCTCGTGTCAGCATCTTGACCCATGGTATGGGGTTGGTAGGGGCTAAGGTGCTAGTCTTGAGTTCACAAAGACCATGCAAGAGCAGGTGGGCAGCTAGCTGGAGGTGAGCAGGACCCACTTTCCCTGTATTTGCACACCTGCAGGCAACTTACCGTTCAAAGTGGTGTTTTGTGTTGGTGTTGGTCACCCACCTATGTGGAGTCAAGGAAAGGCTTGCAGGGCACTGAAGGGATCTTTTGAACTGGGCTGGTTTAAGCCTGTGAGAATAGGGCTAAGGCTGTAGTGGACAATGGCATTTATCTTTCTGAATAAATACAGGAGATAGCAATATCTTATTTGTTTGTACTGTTCTTACTTCTTGCCATGCCTTAGAAAATATGCATGTTGGGGCTTTATTTTTGCATTCACTTTTTGTTTACATAACCAGTACAGTTTTATCAGCAGGAACCGATGTTAACTGACAAAGCAAGAGGGAAATGTTCATTCTGTGCATGGTGATATCACAGCAACAATGTGTTTGAAGCCTTGTACTTCAAAAATATGCCTGAGAGGAATGAAAAAAATCAGGCTTATATTGTAAAAACATGAATCACAACAGCTATTATCTCTTAAGAAATGGCATTCCAGCTCTTTGAATCAGTCATTGATGATTTCCCTTTTCAAACTGTGGTTCTTTCTTACCCTCTTAAGAAACATCTGGGCTAACCCTGGCTATTTGTAGAAATGTTTGCAATTCATAGATTAAAAGAAACTAGACATAGAAAGGACCCATGAAATTATCTTGCCCTTTCCCTGAAAACATATGAAATTGAAGAAGAATTAGGCTAAGTATATATATTAAAATTTGGAAATTATATGCAATATCAAGAGAAAGTATGTCAAGATTTTTCAATTGTAAGAATGATGGAAAATGTATTTTTTTAAAGGAACAGTAAATAGAAGAGTAGCAAAAGCTCTTACAGAGCTTGTGTAGGATTTTCTACTTGTTCCTAGGCAGTTAGCTATCTTTCAGGAATTTGCAAATGAAATTGAAAAGACTTAGTTTTGACCAGTTTGAAGTTGATTAAATTTTCTAATAAAAGAGAGCTTTAGACAAAAATAATTCCTTTAAAAATAATTAAAACTTCCAATTTTAGTTAGGTTTTTCTGGCAATTTTATCTCCCTCACCCTCCCCTATATTAAAAAAAAATATAAAAATTCGACCAGTTCTGTTGCCAGAATAGCTTCTTTAAGGAAGTCTGAGAAGGATGCCGAAGTTTCTTGTCAAGATTCAGCTTTTGCAATGAAGGATGTTTTCTCCGTGGCCCTTAGTAGAGACATTCCACACATTCTCCTGTCATCTCAGTGAAGTGCTTGGTGTGCCCTGTCCTATATGGCCATGCCTCCAGTTCAGCTGTGTGGAGAAGGTGATGCAAGGATGGCTACCACCAGTTTTCCAGCAAAGGGAATGTCTGTGTAGGTTGGTGGCAGGCAGTTGGTGTGATGTGAATCTCAAGAGATGTTTGGGGGTATTAACTCTGGGTTTCTGTGTGCTTCTGCGTCTGCACAAGCTCAGGCCAGCCACAGTCAGAAGGCAGATTAAGCCCTTGCCCAAGGCTTCGTAGGCTGTCTTATGTTGGCATTAGCACTATGTAAGGACAAAAGTATATAAAATGAGGTGACAGGTTTCTCCAGACTAGTAGCCTAGGAAGAGTGTAAAAATAGGGCAAACATAAGTAGTCTTTCTTGAATGCACCTGGGTTTTGCAGCCAGGGGATTTTCTCAGTCAGAGACAGCATCTTTGTGTTTAAAACCATTAATCTGTTATTTGATTTGAAATGTCTCCATTTTTGTATTATGAGGAAAAGCAAACAATCATTCCTTATTCACTGTCTTCACAGTGCTCATGATTATCTAGACTTCAAATTGCAGCACACAGTGACCTCGTCACCCATTTAGAGACCTAGACTATGTCCTTCCAGAAGTACAGATCAGCCACTGATTTTTGTTATTCCCTTCTGGTCTGAGACAGGTTTCACTGTGAAGAAACAAAAATTGAAATGACAACAAACTCTGAGAATTCTCTGGCTACCTGTACTGATGTCATTTATAGAAAGTAAAATTGTATTTGCTTGCACTGGTGCTGAGTCACAAAGCGTTGAGCACAAGAAAACTCAATTTTTGGGAAAGCTTCTAATTTCCTGTTTTTTCAGGAGGAAGGGCATAAAACAAATGATGGTGGGGGGAGAGGGTAAAGGAATAAAGAGAATAAATCTAAATAAAGAAGAATGTCAGAGTATCCAAACTCCAGGAAGGCTAATTCATTTTAGCCCTGCTGGTTCAAACAAGCAGTAATGCAGAGTATAATATACAAGCTCCACTAAATCATTCCTGTATGATAGGCTGTGATCAATGACAATTTAATGAATTCATTTTAAAACTAAGTCAGAATGGGAAAAACTAGTTATTTGAAAGAGTACTTTACTAAAATAAATTGAGTCAATAAATATGCTATTTGTCATGCAGAGACCAGTTAGTCTTGTTTGCTAACAAAAATGCTGTCATCACAGAGCCTAATAGAAGCAAACTATCTGGAACTATCCACTGTAAATAGACAAATAACCATCTGAAAGCAGAAAACAACAATTGCGGCTTAACAAAGAATTGTATACTGAACACATCAACAAATTCCATAGGGTTGCCCACCTCAAAATCTACAATTTTGTTTGTCTCCAGCTTATATACTGATTCAGTATGAATGGTCTGCTGGTGGTAGAAAAACAAAGGATGTGTTTCTTCTATGAAGTGAATTTTAATTGTTGTGTAGTGAGGGTTTCTCTTGCGGGAAAAAAACATGCCATGAAATTCAGTGTTAAATTGCAAAAGACTGCTTCAGTGAACTTGGATGGATTTGTACAGGCTACTAGAACAGGGATAAGCTTCATACCTTTTCAAACAGAATTTTTCATTAATTTTCACAGCTATCCATGTTTAGTGAAGGTACAAGACAGCTTTTTACTCTGCAGTGTATTTCACACTTTGTTTTATTCATATAAGTTGAAGGGATGTGGCAATTCTCAGTCATATGAATTCACACAGGGATTGGAAGTGTTAACAGTGAAACACCATCAACTCAAGATGGTCAGGCCTCTCAGGTTTGGGTTATTGGATACTGGATGGATGGAGCCTGGTTTTCAGATGTGATGAACTGGTAGCAGTGGATATTCAGCTTGGAGGGCACGAATGACGGTCCCAGGGTTTGGCAAGCACATTCTAGCATCCTTCGGATTGTAGGGTGTGAGGAGAAGAAAATGCTCAAAAGTCTTGTTGGATGTTTTGAAAATGGGATTTGCTAACCCAAAGGAAAATAAAAATAATGTTGCAAACCCCTAAAACAGAGAAAATGGAGAATTTCTGTGTGATTTAAGAATGTGAATTTGACCTTTCACTCTTTAAATTTGGAATACAACAGCTGGGGCATTTTTAGAGTTTGCATCATGTGGCCAGAGATCAGGGGATTTAAATCTGCCCTGCAGTCATCTTAGGCACATTGTTCATCCACTCCCAGAGCTGCATTTTCAAAAATGAGTTAGGAATCCAAATCTGTGTGGCTTTCTATGAAACTTAATCCTATATGAATCTAAGTTGCTCCTTAGTTTGGATTTAGGATCCCAAGTGCCTGAAAACCTTAATACTCCACAGCCTATCTACAAAGTCTTTTTAGCTCTGATTGTGAGTGATTCCTAATTGAAATTACAGTTTCAATCATTTCTATCTTCCTTGATGTTCTACTAACCACACAAAAATAGATGTTTTCCTGATAATACAGAGTCTGCAAATTATTTGGGTTTTTTTTTTGTCATTTCGATGGCTTTGTTCTTCTTGCTTTGCTCTTGTCACTAACCTGTGGTACTTTTCGTTTCAGCTGTTTCCACTACTAGGAGTAAAGACCAGAAAAGACAAAGCAGGATGAAAAGATGGCTGACTTCTTGTTACCACCGGGTACTAACAGCTTCCACCGGTTCACGCCTGAATCCTTGGCTGCTATTGAGAAACGAATTGCTGAGAAGCTTGCAAGGAATGCAAAGCAGGAATACAGAGAGCAGCTGGGTGAAGACGAGAAACCTCAGCCTCAGTTTGATTTGCAAGCTTGCAAGAAGCTGCCTGATATCTATGGGACTGTTCCTCCAGAGCTCATTGCAGAGCCTCTGGAGGACCTTGACCCTTTCTACAGTGATCGTAAGGTGAGCACCAACCAGCCATCATGCTGCTTTGCTTTGCTCTGTTTTGAGCGGTCTGTTTTTTATCTTTCTACAGCCAGTAAAAATGTTTTCTTCCACATTAAGGATCAGTTTCAGCATGAGCAGGAATCCCACAAAACATCTAAGTCTGATGGCAAAGAGGGATAAAAAGCATAATTAAAACTTTGGTGTTCTCAGGTAACTGAGTATGAATATACAGTGTCTGAAAAGAGCAGAGCAGTAGCCGAGTTAAATTAAGCCAGAGGTTTTTATCTACCCTATCTTGTTTTCTGCATGAGTCTTCACTCTTCACAGGTCTGTTGTTTATCACTTAAGCCCCTTAATGTTAATTGCTTCTGGGTGACTTCAGTCTTGTGCTAGCACTCTGCACAAGAGCAGGAGGCACCTCCGCAACCGTTCCTGGAGAGCAACCGCCTTTTTTCCTTCCGAAGGATAGTTCAGCGCTGTTTAAGATGACTGAAACAGAGCTGAAGGGAGATGTGAGTAGCATGTGCAGTGCTGGCTCTTTGCAGAAGGGTAAACTTCATCCCAAAGCATCACCTGATGAGGAATCACGTGTAGGCTGGAACAAAGCCACAACAGCACTCACAGCTTCTGTCAAAAGGCTGTTGACAGCAAAGCTGGGCTGGTTGCTTACTACAGGTCATTCCCCTTTCCAAACATTTCACAAAACTGAGGACAAAATAAGGCTTGGAAGTACAGTGTATTTCTAGGCAGCTTCTAGTTCTTTCAGGTACTGACGTTCCTGATTTTTGGCTATGCTATTTCCCGTAATCAGTGAATTAGTATGACCACAATGCTTTGTCTATTAAAACAGTGGAGAAACAGGTACAAGAACTACAGAATAAAAGTTAAATTTATAAAGACAAATAGATTACTTACCTGGAAGGGCCAGAATTAATTTACCTCTTAACTTGCCTGCTATCTCCAGGCACAAGCAGCAGGATACAGATTTGCAATTTTAGTGTCATGAAGGTCTTAGACTCCAGGTGGGAGAGTTGCTTAGAGTTTGCCTCTTGGGTGTCTTGATCCTGTCTCTGAGTGCATATGAGTTGCTCAGTGAATGCTGGGGCATTTGCAAAGCTCTGTAAGTTGGACAAGCATCCATTCAGCATTACTTTGGATTTAAGGTAACTCACAGTATTGGTTTCCTCTGCCCATATCAACTTGAGTACAATGACAGTGCCCCAGTGCCAGGGTCAGATCTTGCTGTGGAGCTGTGCCTCCATGAAGCTGCTTACTTGGTGAGACAAAAAACATCGACTGAGAGCAATAAAGGAATCAAGGTATAGAAAATGGAGTAACAACATATTGAGGTCTCTGGCATTTGGGAAGAGCACATCATGAAAGTCCCTCATCCACATTTTAGTCACTGTGTAATTTTTTATTTTTAAAGGTGATTCCACTCTCCTCCCAGCCTTGTGATGGAGGTGATGGCACAGGGCCCTATAAAGACTGAAGGAATGAAAAACAGTTGGGATATTGCAATAAGACAGGCAATAGCTCTGCTGGGAGGGTCTTGAACAAAACTCTTCACTAAGTGAAAAGGAATTTGGGGGTTTTGAGGAGAGTGGGGAAGAAATGTGGGATCCTGTCAGGAACTTCACAATGGGACATGGGCTGGGAAAAGCTGAGCATAAATGAAAATACTGAACGTTCTCATTTTCTATTTTGTTTTCCAGACATTTATAGTACTGAACAAAGGGAAGACAATCTTTCGATTTAGTGCCACTCCTGCCTTGTATATACTTAGTCCTTTCCATCCAATCAGAAGAGCAGCAATTAAAATTTTGGTACATTCATATCCTTTCTGTTGATTTCCCTCCTCATGTATTTTATAGAGTTTTTAAACACAGATGGATGGAAGTCAGAAACCATTTTATTTCATTAAGCTGTTTTAAATCTTTCTGCTGAATTTGCTTGCAGAAGCAGAAATGCGCTTGGATTTTTGGTTTGGTTCATTTTATATTGTTATGTGAACTGTGAAAATAGCTGTATTATACTGCTGGCATCAGATAATGTGAACTGCAGTGGACAGTCTGCTGACTTTACTCAGGATTAAAAGGTTTGGAGGGCCTGAACATGTTTAGTAAAGAGCCAGTGGAAGAAACTGGGTGTAGTACCTTAGGAAGGGAACCAGGAAGTTGGAGCGTACCTTGGGAAATCTACACTGATGGAGTGATTTGCTACTGAGCATTTGAGCAGCCTCTCCCATGAGACTTTGTGACACCATGTGCAGATGCAGTTTAATTTTGAACTGCCTCAGAAATTAATTATTTTGATCTCCTGAAACAAAACATTTTTTAATTAGTGTTTTGTTGGGGTATTTTGGTTTGTTTTTTTCTTTCTTCTTTTTTTTTTTTTTTTTTTTTTTCCTTGTTGAAATGTGTTATACAGCTAGGAATGAAAGGGCAGGCCTGCCTGATGGACCTTTCGATAGAAGGGTAATGCCTGATTTCCCTTAGCTGTACTTCTGAAGTCATGCAAGATATGTTGCAGTGGTTGGTTTTCACTTGGGTTTTAAATACTGACACAGAAACATTATATTCTGAACATAGTCTGGAAGACCAAATGGACCCAAATGTTCACCTTTGTGTGAACATTACCAAAACTGCACCTTTTTTCATGAGTTGCCTTCTCTATGGTGAACATGGGAGACCTGGCAGTGATAATTCAGACTTCACATGCAGCTGTGATGATCATGTGATGTTTTAGTGACAAAAATCCCTCACCTATAATGCTTATGTTCACCGCAGAGAACTAATAAATACAAAGCAGGTAGTGTCTTCGAATCATTGGTTTATTATCAAATTTCAGAGGGGGAATAAACCAAACAAACACCCCCCCCCCAAAAAGAAAAAAACACCCACCCAAAGAAACGCCCCAAAATCCAGAAAGAAACCAGATTCCCAGTAGTTTTCCATATAGTGAGGAAAAGAAAAAAAGTGCAAATATAGATAATCTAGGAAGAGGAAAAGTAGGCAAAGCTTCTAGTTACAATAAGTCCATGCAAAAATGAGTATGTGATATCAGCCAGGATATTATTATGATTACTAAGAATACACCATAGAATTTTACAGAGAGATTTGCTTATGGATCAGATTATGCATGCAAACAGTGCAGCACTTGCTGCAGCATACCCAACAGTGTTTATTAGGTACAGTTACAACAGCACAGCCTTGCTGAAGTTAATTGAAGTCAATGAATTGGCACAGGTATGGCTAGGAGAAGAATCTGAAAATTTAACTGAGAAAAACAGCATGTATATTTGAGCATTGCCTCCAGCTCTGGAGACCTTTTCTGTCTTCTGCTTACTTCTTTCTACACCATCTGGTGTAGCCAAGAGGTCACAAGTATGTGTAATACACAGGAACTGCATGCTCTTTGTAACAGTAAACCCAAAGAAAAGTGTGCAATAAATCCTTTTCACATTACTTCCAAGGATAAAGACCACAGAGGAGTGAATTTGAAAGATATGTCAGGAACAGAAATATTGTAAATTGTAGGAGTGGAAGGTCACAATGTAAATAGCATTTTAGATACAGAAAGACTCAAGTTATCACCTCGTGTTGATAATGTCAGGAAATCCAACAGCTCAATCTTTGGCAAGCACGGGCAGGAGGCAACAGCTGTAGTCCCAGTGAAACAGTGGTGAAGTTCCTGCATTAGGCACTGATTTGTTTTCTGTCGATACAGACCTTTCACATCAACCTGAAAAACAAAGGCCAATTGGCTGAGCAGGCAGTCAATATCCCAGGCAGAAAGAAGCCTGGATCGGCAAGTACTCAAGCAGGTAATATCACAGACATGAATCTGGGAACCAGATCTATTGCCTTGTGTGAGTGTAATCAAGCAATCTTTATTTTCTTCAGGGCAAAATCCAAAAAAAGAGCATTAACAAATGATGCCCTGTCACGGAAGTGTCTGAAGCATCTTCTCTAGTAGATGCAATATTTCCATTTCCAGTCATTAAGCGTACCATGAAGGCTAATAGTAGAACAAAATAGAGAGGACAGAGTAAAATTGTCCTATATAGAAGCTGTGGGTGTCACATTTCTTGGTTAAGTAGCTGTATATGGAGTTCTTCTTCTGAGACTTCAGGCAGCATAGATCCTATATGTTCAACTGCTCATCCAGACAGACTAATTAGTCTAGTCATTAAAAAATGCACTCTTCTAAAGGAAAAAACATCCACAACCTCCTAGTAAGGTGGATTACTTCAATCTAACAATGTATCCCTAAACCTTTTCTAGGTATTTCTCCTCTTCTTTGGAATCTAGGAGGCCCCATCAAAGGACTATGGGCCAGAACAAGACCCTGGTCCATTTCTGTCACAGAGGACATAGGGAGTGTAGGTCTGCATCCCGATGGATGAACGCTTTTTGCCTTCTGCATCATTGCTAGTTATTATTAGCATCTTCCTTTACAATCTCCACTGCCTAACATTTCATTGATGTCTTATGCTTAAAAGACTCCTCTTAGTTCTTCTAGCCTGCAAGCTGAGGACCATTCTGTGATGTCTTTAGTTTCTCCAAGCAGTTTGTGATCCTATATAAAGTCATAGCAATTGCTATGCCTTGTTCTTCTAGGTAGTATAGATAGCTGCTGTTTGTCACAGATCCAGAATGGGGTTTTGACCAAAATTACCTTCCTTGAAGCAAGAATTATGGATTCTGGCCCATTGAAAAAAAGAACAAAAAAGAAACCCCCAAACTCTTCTTAAAGAATTTTCAATCTTTCTTCATATTTTCTGCTTGCAGCGTTTCTCCTATCCGATTTTACACACTTTCCTCCATAAGGGAAAATGAGACCTTGTCAAGCACCAATTATATGTGCTATTGATTGGGACTAACCTTTGCTTGCATATATTATATGTAATTTGGCTATGATCACTTAGAAACCTCTAATATTCAGTCTGCTAATTAACAATTATCCATCATAATGAAGTCTAGAATAGAAGTATGCTGTGTTTGACTCAATAACTTTGTGCTAGGAGATGAAATTTTAGAACCAGTTTGTGCAAAGCTTACTCTATAACTTTGAATTGGAAAGAATAAGGTTAATTTACTGCAGAAAGAATCCTGATGAGTAGCTTACTATATTTGGGTTGTGATCCATAACAGAGTCCAACCCATATTTCTGAATGTGTTAGCCATGTCAACTCATGGATCAGTAGGTTTTCAAAAATTGGAATTAGTAATAGTCCTAAGAGAGGTAATACTCAATGATGCTAATATATCTCTTGAGATAAGAATAGCGTATGTGAATTTCATCTTTTTACTTTGTCCTTTCTGAGTGGATCATCAATACTGACTTTTTCTAGTGCAACCTATTGCATTAGTTTTCAGGTAGGGATGCTAATTTTCATTCTGTAGGATATTTTTTTTTTACCTCTTTCTTTTAATACAGATCTTTGACTTTGGTGCATGACCATTTGAAATGTTTCATTCTTTTATGTTCTTTGTAGTTTCCAGCTTGGTCATGAAACTGTTTGAATTCATAGTGTATTTGATGTCCCAAAGCTAACCTCTCACATTTTCAACCTATTTTCTCTGGTGTATTCTCTTTGGTGTTTGAATAAGGTGATAACACCTGCCTGTAAGTGAGCATGTTACACTCATCTTAACACCACAAGGAAACAAGGATGTATAAATCACACCAGTGATCTTAAAATAGGTGGTTATAGAGGAATTTCTTTGCTTGGAACTAAATTGAAGCACAGTATTTTTTTGGCATGGCCTGAACACACTACTCTGTCTTACTACTGTTCTTTTCATAGCATTTCACTGTAGATGAAAAAGTAATCCAGTGTTTTCTAGGCTAGCTGCAGCTTAAAGCCTAATTGTGTTAACCAGATGGACACAAATTACCACAAATTACCAAAAATATATCTCAAGCTGACATGAGAAAATGTGACTGGCTATCAGATATCCATCCCAGTCCTTCAGTAGGTGTTGTCTGAGAACTGGAAACTGTTTGTGAGAGGAGGAGTCCCTTTGAGTACAATTACTGCTTTCTGCAGCAGCCCTGGGGAATATGCAGGTTGGTTACTACATATTTAAACTTGTAGTTGCTTATGTGGCCCATAGGAAAACATTCCACTCTTTCCAGCATAGATTTTGACTCTGTGAAAGGACAATTTTCACGCAGATGTTTCAGGATGTATGTTTGAAATTATATTCTTGCATCACTATTCTGAAACAAAATATGACACCTACAGAATCAGTAAAAAGGGAAAAAACTCCAAACAAACAAACACACACCTTATTTTATTTTATCTGTTTCTTGTATTGAAGGCAAAACAAATTAATATTTGGAAGCTATTGGTCTCTGCAGAAGGGTCCCAGCCTGAGTTGCAGGCTGTTTGCCTTATTTTCTGTCCACTTAAACTCATTAGTTAACTTTCTGCAGTAGCATGGGACCTATTATTTATACAGGAGAACCCCATCATGTTTTGTAATATTTTTACAGATAGTGACGTGCTTTTAGGAGAGCAGTTCAGTGAACTGTGTTTTCAGTTTCAAGAATTCAATTGAGAGTGCTCCGTTCTGTGTTTGTGGCCACAGCTTAGCAGCTAGGAACAAGGACTCTACACTTGGGAGGTTTGTTTTAGCCTCCAATTAGGGAAACTGATGCCTCAGCTGAGGCAGTCAGATTTGCAGATCAAGACAGGCCAGTTTGCAGACCAAGCTTTAAAATTAGTGCTGTGAAATTCATATTAGCTTTTGGTGAAATTTTATACTGAAAGTGAGAACTCAAGCCCATTAGAGAGATTAGAAAGACCAGATTTACAACTTGCCTTACAGCCTGAGAAATGTTTCAGGATGCAAAATATAATGGGAATTTGCAGACACGGGTTTTCCATAGATACTTAAATGAGACTAATCCCTCTTTTCATACAAAGTTGTGCACCTTTGCACATTGTCATCTGACCAACACAGCTGTAAAATTTGGGTATTGTATTTTCAGAAGACTGCAGAGTCAGTACATTTGTTTACTGTATAATGCATACAAAGTAAGCAAAGGAAAAAGAGAAGGAAAAGTTTCCTTATAATTTTATGTGTATATAGTAATTTGTTTCCTTATTTACTTATAAACAAATGTCTATAGTCCTTTTTAAGCAACTTGCGAATTATGATTGAGCTGTCACATCCTGTGTGAAATAACAGAAATTTGTGAAGTCTTACAAGATATGCGTTGCTTTCCTTAATTTCTTATTTACATTGTTCAGTATGTTTATTATGTGCACTATTTTAACTAATTGTGTGTTCATGGCACAGTCAGAGACTCCGTCCTGGAATAAATATGTTGAGTAAGTATCCTTGCTGGTTTACATCTGCCCTATCCTTATCCCATCCTTCCTCTCCCATTTGTTATATTCTTTTTTTCCTCTTGTTTGCTGTGGTCTAATTTCTTTCTAGTAATACTGATGGTAATATCTGTCATGACAAAATGTTTTTCCAGGGGGCTACTGCCTGTGAAAACTCCCTTAGTAAGTAAACTAACAACTTTTTTAGTCTACCAAGCTCACACTTACTGCTAAATGCTCCTGCTATGCTACATCTGAATGAAAACACATGTGATGAGAACTTCATTTGAAACTGTCCAGCCTTTCACAGTTCCCATGCAAGAGATTCAATGGTTGGACACACTAGAATAGGCAGATGGAGTTTAAGTTGAATTATTTCAGAAAATACTTCCTGGATATACTTAGTTCTGTCCTTAATCTGAAACTTACTGAAGTAGAAGTCTCTTTTGGACTGAGTTCACCATGACTAGTGTTCCCCTGTAATCATTGATAGGCATACCTTAGGATCATGAATAAAATTGTCTGGGAATGCTTTTATCTTCCAATCTTTTAAATTTGTCAAACCTTCAGAAAAAAAGAAAAAAAAGAAAAAGAAATCGTTTGAAGGGGCTTTTTTGTTTGGTTTGGTTTGGTTTCTTTTTTTAAATTAATTTTAAAAAAGGCCAACTAGCTTCAGAAAGCTTTCATTTCTTTAAGTTGCTTTAAAATATTCCTCTTAGAAACAGATACCAGATGCATAAGCTAATCAACCTACAGTGCATTAAACAATTATTTTGGCTCATTGAACCAATCAGAACACACTTTTTATTTTTGACTGACATATGATAAACACAGCCATCTGCTGTTCCATAGCCTGGTGGTTGGTCTACTCAGGGCAGTAAGGAAAGACAGTAAAATGCCCTTATCTTTGGTTTCTCAGAATCATGCAGGGCACATCTTCTAGACCATAAATTGCTAATAATAGACAGTGCCGAACCTAATATTTCATCTGATCACAATAGCATCCTAATCCGAGGATGTTTCATGTATTTCCGTATAGTACCCTCAAGTATGCCTGTGACTTTTCCCCCAGTGTTGTCCTTTTTCCTATTTCAAACTGTCAGACAGTACCATAGTCATATGTATTCAGCTGAGGCATGGACATCTCATAAATGTGAGTCAAAATTCGGTCAGTGAGTCTACAGCTGGGAAGTCAAACATTAAATATCAAATATCAACAAAACAAAAAAATATCAAAGTGTGTTCTGTAAGCAGGAAAATGGGGATGATTTTATCAGTGTGTCAAATAGGGCATGGAAGAAACAGAACAGAAATGCAAATGGACTTGTGCAGCATGGAGTACATGCTTCCATGTTTCCTCTTCTGTCTCCTCATACCTCATAGTTTTTCCTCCTCAAATGAATAGAATTAGATCAAAGGCTTTTGACTTCTGAGGAGCAAAATAACCCAAGGAACTGGAATTCAAATTGATTAATATCGGATTTGGAAGCAATACATTTAATCCATTTTGTATTCTGTTCCAGAGATTTACCAGGGGATGCAAGAGTAACCTTGTGCAAATATTTGGCCTAGATCTTCCTTTAAAACATTTTCCTGACCATTTTGAAAAAAAGAAATCAATTCAACTTCCCTCCACTAAAAATTTTTCTGTTGTTAAAGAAGCTGCTCAGTTGCTGGAGGACTTTGCCCGATCCATTTAGAATTAGATGATGATTATACAATCAATTAAACCATCTGACATGCTGAATAAATACAAGTGCTTTATCATTTTAATGAGCTTATGTACCGTTAAGTATTTTTTTTAGTTCTTTGCATGTGTTTTCTGCATGTATTACTGAATACACATGCTTAAAGAGAGGGTCACATGGGTGACCTATATTTGAAATACCAGAGCAAAACTAAATAGGCATCCTGAAAAATCAGATACAAGATAATTCTTAGGTGTATGGTCAAAAAGGAGATGTGCAAAACATTCAATGCCCACTGTTGCACAAAACCTGTCCTATGAATCTCCATTTTAACATGAAGCATACTGAGGTTTTATAATGTGTAACTAACTCTACTGTGTGACATGGTGTCTGGAGAGCAAGGGATTTGCCACTATCTTGTATGTGTGCCCTGTTGCAGATCAGCAGAATACAACTGAGAGAAAACATTTGCATTTTATGCATAATGAAGTTCTTCCTTAGAATACTACCTTTAATTACTCAAGACAGCATTTCCAGTGAAAGCCCCTAGCACCATGACTGAGTTTGTGTTTTATGGGATTTTAGGTGTGTCTTTGTGGTGTTTTTAATAGGCTTTGGTATCATCTACATCTTCATTTGTAGAAAAGGTGTAGGGAATGCCAATGGTGGATCCTAAATATTTATTATTTTTATTGAGATATGGTCTTGAATACCTAGTCTCATTGGGCTACATGTCTCAAGTAGAAACGTTAAAAAAAGAGATGTTGTATGCCCTGAAGTACATCTCTGATGGTAGGTAGATCCTTGGGTGAACAGAGATCTGAATGTTGTAAGTCAGATATATTATTGTCCCCCACAGAGAATTTGCTAAATTTTATTACAAGTATCATCTTTATTACAAAAGGTAAGATGTATGTTCTATCTGAGTTCATTACAGGCAGCTGTTGTTAATAAACAGCTTGTCTTACTATGGGAAAAAAACACCCTTGTGTCTCTTTTACTGTCAAGCAGGTCAAAATTATTATATATAGTATTCAGGTGGGAGTTATTTTGCTCTTTCTCAGTGAGGGAATTCTGTTGTTTAATTCTGAGGGATGGTGTGGTTTACCATAGATAGTGAACAGGGAAGTTGCAAGAAGAATACCCTTTTTTAGCTTATAAAACTAAGTGGGGACATTTTTTTAACCTGCTGTCCTTCAAAGTGTCCTGTGCAGGAAGAGATGAGAGGTATGAATGGAACAACCAGGCTCCTTCAAATTAGAGAAGCAACAAGCATAATCCATTCCTCTTTCACTGGTGATTGCAGAGTTTTAAAAGTCCTGTAACACAGCTTAAAATAGTTAGTATTCATGCTTAATGAGAGAGGATTCGTCAAGGTACACCATTTGGTGAAAATTGTCTTTTTCTATGGCTGTCATGAGTGTTTTCCCTTTTCTTACATGTTCCTTGGGCCACACATGAAGCTGCTTGTGCACAGCCTGGTACTGCAGCCATGACTTGCATGAGCAACACCAAAAGGGACAGGAATGTTTCATGTGAGCAGGATCAAGCTGAGTTTGCCTCTGCTTTTCCTGCCATCTACTGCTTGCTAATGCTCTTGCTTATCTTGGCCACTTTATTTCCCAGGTACACTTTCACTGGTATTTATACTTTTGAGTCACTGATAAAAATATTGGCAAGAGGATTTTGCATGACAGAATTCACCTTCCTTCGAGATCCGTGGAACTGGCTGGATTTCAGTGTTATTGTTATGGCGTAAGTAGCATTCCTTTGTATTTTTCAAGACACTGATATGCAGTAGGACTTTTAAAGAATTGTCTGGTGGTTCTCTTTTTTATCTTCCACTCAAATTGTACCAACAATGAGAAAATGCTGAAGTGTATTAGGAGGGAGAGTTTTTTCCTGAGTGGTTTCAGAGGAAGAAGTCAGAGGAATTCTCAATTCTGTTCTCTCAATTCACTGAAATGCTTTGGAGAGGTTATATACTTTGTGCTCCATGGAGAGCTGTTTGTATATCCATAATAATACTTGCCTATCTAATGCAATTTTGGGAAGCTTTAGACCCCTGAATAGAAAGTGTTATAAGTGTGACTGAATACCCATGTATTTAAATCCCCATTTATACTCTATCTATCCATAACACAACCAAAACTGGTTTTGCTTTCTTCACTTCACAAACCCTCTTCACCCTGAAAGTAATTACTATTTCACTGCAATAGGGAATTGATTTAAAAGCCTGTGAAACTTGTCATATATCTTGGGAGTAGAAATTTGCCCCCCAAACATGATATTCCCCTTCAGATGTATACTTCCACCTAGATTATTAGAGTTCACCGAAAACATGTGAGGTTCTGGTGCTTTGAAAGAGCTGTTGGATTTGTGGCATCTAGACAGCTGAAAACACATGCGGGTAGGGAAGCAGTCAGCCAAAGGCAGCAGCAGACCCAAGGTCAGCCCAAGCTCTGGCCAAAGGCAGATGTCTGACGCTGTTGGTATCTCCAACTGAAAACCAGAAAGCTGAGCTAGAAATGCAGATTTTCTCCATAGTTCTGAGAAAAAAGCATATGAAAAGCATGTGTCATCTTGAAATGGAATCATGTTAGATAACGCCCTGAAAGGCTCCATTTCCTAATCATAGAAGGACTTCATTTAGTCTCCCTGTATTTTATGCTTAATGATACGTATATTCTATTTTGGTTTTAGTTAAGCTCTTGCTGCCATCTTTAAACCTCGTAATTCAGTGTTAAGTGAGTTGCAAGCCTGTTAGCACATCATTTGAGCTGAACTTGTGGGCCAGTTATATTTGAATGGAACCAAAACTGGGAAAAAGTATTCAACCCAGCTTAGTTGAAACACCAGTGAGGGCCACAGAAGTTGATAGCACAACTCAGGTAGGGTGCAGGGATCCGGATCAATATTCAAGGAGTGTCTCCATGATGCTTTTAGCTAAATGGTTAGCTTTAGGTAGTCCTGTGAGGAGCCAGGAGTTGGACTCAGTGATCCTTATGGGTCGCTTCCAACTTGAAATAGTCCCTGATTCTATGAACATTAGCAGCATTTAGCAGAACAGCATGAAGGTATGTAAAATGTATGTGGACTTTGCTGGGAAGGCTCCCATTTATTTTAGTAGGCTTTGGATCATAGCCAGCTCTGGGCCTGATCCTGGTATCTGTTACTGCATTCCTATGGATTTGGCTGAACTGGCATCTGGCCGTTGTGATAAGCTTTCAAAAAATGCAGCGCAGATGGGGAGCAGTTTTTGGAGGTCAGCACACATTAGGTATTTTTCTCAGCTGAAATTTGCCTAAAGTAGCACTAAGAGCAATTCTCCTGCAGCATTGAGAGGCAGGACAGAGCAATGCAAAGCACCACCAGCCTGCTATGCTGTACATTAGACAGGTGGTAAAAGCAGGGTGAGATAGTTCATCTGTTTGTGAGTTAGGACATTAGTTTATTTGCAGGTCTCTGAATTCAGAGCAACATGGAAAGTTTCCATGCATGGGTTCCTCTATCCTACAAGGAAGAATGTTTTAGACAGTTGAGGCAGAAAGGAGGAGGGAAAAGGACAAGGGAGCCACAGTTTGCAACCTTTGCAATGCTTCTGCTCCATCTCCTCAGCTCAGGCAGAGATTGGGGCATCACCCCCAGCTCTGTGGAACTCCTCTGGGAGCATCTCTTTTACTGTCACTGAAATTTGAGTCTGAACAGTCAGTGTGATCTTCATGTGTAAAATTAATCCTCCTTCCAAGTATGCAAGCAGCAGATAGGACAGAACATTGGATAATGGACTATTCTGATATGATTTATCCTTCATATAAATCAAACTTGCAAGTAATTTAAAGTAATATTGACCACACAGGTAACTCTGGTATTGTTTTTGCTTGTAACTAGTATTTCTGTGTCTGGAAAAATAGATTGCATGAGGGTTCAAAATGGGAGAGCCTGTTAAAGGGGACATGAGATTTAGATGGACTGAGGGTTTTGAGCTAATAGAAAATCTGATTCTTTCACTGATGTGTGTTCCAGTGGAAAGACCATCACTTGCTTTAGAGTTGCTGCAAAATAACTTCTTGCCTCCTCCTTGGGGCAGAAATGGCACAGATTGGGGTACAGACAGTGGTTTTAAATAGCACACTAGATAGTAAGAGGTGCCACAGGTCTCTAGGGCTTTTCTTCCACCCTGTGCTAGCAGATATAGCCATGACCCTCTGAGGGCCGTGGAAGGGTTCAAGGAAAAGTAGGAAATTATGAAACTGCCCCTGTTTAGATCACTCTTTCCCAGTCAAGTGAGTACTTTCCGTTTCAGGCAGGTGTAACTCTGGATTGGGAAGTGCCTTGCCAACAGCTTAATGACAATAAGCAATTCCCTGGCTAACAGCAAAATCCAGGATGGGAATTTCAGTTGCTTCTCCCTTCCCAATTTGGAGGAACTTAAGTCTGCTGCAATTTCATCCAAGAAATGGCCAATATAAGTCTTAGAGCTAACTATTGTGAGCAAGCAGCGTTAATACTTGCGTCACATGCCTGTTCCTATATTAATAACGTGTTTACAAATTTCTAGTCAGCAAAATCATATTCTCATGGTATTGCTGCTCCCCAAATAATTTTTTTCCACCCTTGCATATTGCATTAGAGTTTGGGAGAGAAGCACTTCCTAAACCAGGGGGGGTTTGCCCAGACTCCCCTATGAGATTATGAGGAGGAGAAGCAATATTGCCCTTCCAGGCTATAATCTGGATTAGTAGATATGGAGAGGATGCTTTGTCCTCCCCAGAGGACTTTGCACAAAACCCACTTAAGCAGGCTTTGTAAAATAACCAGGTGAGTTTTTAACTTAACGTGCAAAAACAGATGCCTCAAAGATGTGGAATGTATAAATGAAATTTAATGGTAATTTCATAATGAAATTAAAAAGTCCAAGAGCTGTTTTGTTCAGAGAATACAATGGTGACTGTGCTTTTACTGTACACCAACTCGGAGGAATAAACTCTGTAAAACACTGATAAAACCAAATGCATCCCATAACTGACCCTCCTGGCAGCATTCAACTCAGATGTGTCATGGGTCTTCATGATGACCAAAATAGGCATGGCAGTGAAGAGCTGGGATTGGTATTTTAATCATAAATAGTTTTTAGTAGGATTGCAATTATATTCATTCAAAATCCATCTTCCTGCCGGCAAAGAGCATGTATTTGATGTACAAAACAAAGTAAATTCTTAAGCATCTCTTGAAACCAACATCTGTTTTAGCACAGAATGCAGCACCTTAGAATAAGCAGCCAAGCAGGTACATTTGCACTGATATTTTCAGATGTTGTCCTATATTTAGTTTGCAGAAGCTATTATGTGAAAATTACTTGGGTGTTTGAAGATTTTATTTTTTAGGAGCAGCAAAATAACTCTTAATGTTTCCTATAATGCAAAGAATTTTTTGTTAAGTTACATGATGGTGAAGTTTTTAAAGTATTTATTGCTGAACAGCACAGTAACAAAGTTAACTGAGTAGTTTTAAAGAACTGGTGCCTATTAGATAAGTTTAAAAGTTCAAGAAACATTTGAAATAATGTATATTATGAAAAAACTGGGACAAATGGCATCAAATAAGAGCCTGAAAAGTGGATGCATCCCTCATTCAGTTGTGTTTGCTCCCACTTTTTATGATTGCATTCTTCATTCAGACAAGTTTCATAATCTATTGTATAATTCCAAATAACTGTGACTTAATTCTACAGGTATGTAGGAGAATTTGTGAAAGTAGGCAGTGTTTCACCTCTTCGGACTTTCAGGGTATTGAGAGCTTTAAAAACTATTTCAGTAATCCCAGGTAAGAAGCCCTGATCCTTACATTTTGGCTCTCAGCTACAAGTGATTCTTTCTCTGTCTCTCTTTGTCCCTTTGACTGTTGGTTGTTTGTTTTTTTTGCTGGTGTTTTGTCATTGTCTGTGTGTGACTTTCCCTTGTTACAGATACATAACTGAATTTGTGGACCTGGGCAATGTCTCAGCCTTACGAACGTTCAGAGTACTGCGGGCGCTGAAAACAATCTCAGTCATTTCAGGTGAAAATCAGGTTAAACACTCCGGCTGCACTTAAAGCCTACATGCCATTTCCAGTAGTAAACACAGTAATTACAAATAACGTAACCACAGATGCTGATCAGGAAATGGAGGAATGTAGGGAATGTGACCTGTCAATAGAATACATTTTTCATATGTTTTTCTCATACCATTTTTGTGGGCAGAAGGCATTAGAATGCCTCCAAAATTACAGACCTCACTATGATGAGTGCTGCTGTGAGAACGGTGGTATACAGTGGCTCGTGAATCACACACACAAAGTACTCATTCATGAACCACATGAAAATTACAATTAAACTCTTCTAAAGTCATCAGATACTGATTTTTAAAAATGAAAGTTTAACGAATTTAAAACGCATATTTGTGTTTGAAAGTGCAGAGGAATCAAACAGAGGAATCTAAGTCTGTGCTATGAGTTGAGGTTTCAGGACTGCAGGCATAGATAGCCTAATTTGTCATGGTGTTTATCCATCTGCATGTGATAGAAACACTGTTTAAATTTCAGACCCTGAAGAGATCCGAAAATGTTTCATCATTGATGTTGGTAGGTTCAGCATTTCATTAACTCCAATATTCTTACATTTGCAAGGATATGGTTACCTCCCATCAGGAAATAAATCAGTATTTTACCACAGATCTGGTAGATTTTTCATAGCTTTTTATCTAATCTATTACTTTTTAAAAAATATTAAATAATATTTACTATTAAGTAATTAATGCAGAGATGAGTCCTCTGAGGACTAACTATATGATGATAATTTCTTGCCAAGCATTGTCTATGGACAGGTCTCATTCAGCCTCAGTGTTTAACATCTCCAACCTGCATGACAAGGTAGAGAAGATAGCAAAAAACCATGCATGGTAGATCCTATCAGTGATTATCCTGAACAGATGTTGGCAATTACATGTCAAAAATATTTAAAACTTCAAGAGACCTGCTCAGATTCTCACACACAGCTCTTTTAAGTTAGGAAGGCTGTTCCAACCCTTATTATTCACATCTACACTATAATATAAATGTAAACAAATTTGGTGTAAACTTAGTAAACTTATTAGGCACTTACATTAACACCAGCACACACATGGAGTATAAGCTAGAAATGGGAATTCTGGAACTGAGGTGTTCTAGTGCTTACTTCCTCATTCCAACATCAAAGTAATGAAAATCTGTGAAATTACTGAAAGAGCAAGGTACTTTTCATTGAAAGTGTATGTTTAAATATAGCTTTTAAAGAATACTTTTAGGATGTTAATTCATTAGATCTGGTATTCCTGGAAATCAGTTTCTGTCTTAATTTTTCATTTCAAGTTTATGAAGAATAATTTATTAACAGAGAAGGTTTTTCTCTAATCGAATTTTCATTGTGAAAGGATATTTTTTCCCCTAGGGAAACAGAAGGTTGAGCACAGTTTTACAGATCATGTGGGATAGTAATGGCTAATCAGAACAAAAACCAGGGGTTCCCAGTTTCCTTTGCAAGCGATTTGAAGATTAACTTGGAGGGACAGCCGTCTCCAGGGGACACCTTTCACTTTCCATCTTGTCTTAAGCTTCAGCTTCTTCAGAGCAGAGCCTGTCAATTTTGCTGAGTTATATATACAGCAATTTATGCTGTCCTATGTCAGAGTTGGAGCTGAACCTTGTTTTACAGCAAATGATGAATTTCATCTGGTTTTTATTTAAAAACAAAAAAAGGAGTATTGAAATTCAGAAAAACTTTCTTTAAAAATACACCAAAGCCCTTCAGTGATATCAAACACTGAGTTGTTCCATTTGTCGGCTAATAAAAAAAAAGAAAAAGTGAGAGGACGATTATTTATTGAGGAAATACATAATAACTCATGCTCTGGTTCTTTTGTTGTTTTGGTTTTTTTTTTTTTCTGATTATTTGATTAGTTATTTGATAAGTACATTTTTAGGTACCAGTAACTAAATTATTTGCTGGCATAACTGCATGAAGATATGCTAATAGAATATCCAGCCTTAGATTTTGTTGTCAAGATTACCTGCCCTGAGTGTGTTTAAGTTACAAATGTGAAGAGCTACAAATTGGCCCAGAACACCTAGCTGCCTGTAAAACACAACTAAGGCTAGGTTTTAATGTGAACAGATAATTTCAGAGGAGTCAGTTCATTTTTCAGTTAGCCACATATATTCTAAAAGAAATATTGGCCATGATGCTGTGATTTATTTGGAGATCAGTCTCAGTTTTCAATAATAATGTAGGCTTATGGTGAGGTGAAGTATTTTTCCACAATAGGCTTAAAAAATGAAAAGATGATGAACACTAATCTTTCATGGGATTTTTGGGTTCAACTGCTAGAAAGGGGAGAAGGTTGTTATTCTTACTTCCTCTTTTGCAACTTAGATGAAAAATGCTAAGATGGATTCTCCTTTTCAAATTTCTAAGCTTTTCCTCAATAAAATTGATCACGCTTTTCATCAGGTAGTTGTATTTGCACAAACATACTTGCCCTCAACATGCTGAGTGAAATTGCTTACCGAAAGTATCAGGCCAACTCCTCCGTGGTGTAAGGCTTCTGTCCAGGAAAGCACTTAGAGGCTGGTTTTCAAAGGCATTCTGCTTCACTGGAAATCAATGAGTTTCTCTATTGACTCCAGAGGGAGTCAGTAAAGCTAACAATTAGTGCTTTTAAAAATCTCACCCTACCTTTAATGCTTGGCTTTAAAGTGCGCAAGCAGGCACAGGGATGTTTAGGTGACACAGATGCCCAAGGATTCAAAAAGATCTAAACTCTCAGAATCCATTCCCCTGACCGAAGACTGTGTTTAATATACCTCAGACCTGGCATGATACTTATTGCCTGACTTGTTCTAACGAGGCTTCAAAGGTGGAGATTTTCAGACTTCCTGAGAAGTCTGTTCCAGCACCTCATTGCTTTTGCCGTTAGGTGATTTGCCCTGGGAGGATGGATTCAGATGGAGATTCAGCAACACAAATATCCTTCATGGATCCCCACAATTTTCCCTTTTCTGCACTAAACACACCCATTGCTTTCTGTTTTCCAGTTGCCCATATTACCAAGAGAAAGTAAACTTTGTACAGTAGCTGGATATCTGTTTACCCATACTCATTAAAAGAAAAAAAGCTTTTAATTTCTTCATATATCACTTATGTTCAGGTGCTTAGAAATAGGTAGCATTTTCTCTATGGGAACATAAAATCTTGAACTCTCAGTAATTTTATTTATTAATTAGCATCTTGCACATTGCCATAGCAACTGGATTCATTTGGTTTCAATCTAGATGGGAACCACCGTCAGCAACAAAACAACCCACTGAAGTCACTCATTTGTCTCCCATTGCCAGCATATCTAAGTTCACATGTGCTCAGCAGGATCCCTTCCCATGACAATAGAGGGTCTGAATCATAGTTTATCTGCATGTAAATCACAAATGTTTTTGATAACTACTAACTGAGGTAATACGAAGTTCTGAGGCACACACGCTTATGCCTCCCCTTTCAAAAGCCTGTGAAATGCAGGCCATCATCATCACCAGGATTTTGTGATATGCATGCATCCAGAGAAACTCCACTGCTCTTTCTGGAACAGGCATGTACGTCACAGACATCTCACATAAAATGACAGGGTACTGGCGAAAGGTGACCTCATAGAAAATTGGGCCAAGGCACTTTGGGGCCTGATCCAGCTCCCATTTAAGTTAGTGTGAGTCTAAAGGCTATAAATAGTGCTGTGAATGTTATCTGGTACTTTACTGATAGCCAGAACAGGGCTCAGAGCACAAGAATTGAGACTCTGTGAAGGAGATGGACCCTCATTCACCGCTTCAATCTCACTGAAGTCCTCCTTCAGAGAGATAAATGTCATACTTCTTGTGGGTAAATCACTTAAGTATCTATCCCAGAGGTGAGAAATTTGTGTTTTCCTTGGAGACTGACATGACAGTCACATTTCCATGAAAGGTGGTCTACAGAAATGCTGACAACCCTTCAAGTTTGCCAACGTGCTAGTAAACCCTTTTCTGCCCCACGTCTCCGTGGCTGTTGACAAAATACATTCACCAAAAGTGAACTCTTCTCTCCCTGCATGCACATGAGTCATGCAGACATCTGCAAGACATGTATCCTCAGGAGAAGGAGTAGGCTGAGTGAGGACAATCATGGTGCAAGTCACACTCTCTTCTTTTTTTTTTTGTCGTTTTTGCTTTTTCTCCCTGCTTGTTTCCAGACTATGCATGAAAGTGTCTGATGTTCTGTAGGTGATTGCCAACATCTGGTATGGATGTCATACTGAATTATGCTAATACTTTCTCACATCTCGTAGAAGGAATGGATGGCGTTTTGGGATCTTGCCATTTCTCATTGTTTGGTGTTGCTTGCATTTTCTATGGTCTCTGATTTGCATTTGAAAACTGATTATTTGATTAACCTCTGAATGTGGTAATTTCTACATGCATTAACAGGAATGTTTGGGCCAAATCCTTCTTGCTTTCTGCAGATGTCAGGCTGCCTATACAAACCTCATCCTACTGATTTTGGATCTCGTGGTGTTTTTCATGTCATGCAAGCAGGATTTCGCCCAGAGGTGTGGAAAGTGTTCAGTGATTCAGGAAAAGCCTGTATTGGTTACTCCATAGGAAGTAATCTATAGACCTATTGTCATTAACAGGGGTAGATGTTGCTCAGCTTTGGATCAGATCCTCATTTTTTTCTGCATGCTGCCTGATTTGATGTTTGACTTGCAAGAATTAAGTATATGCCTTTAATGCCCCATAAACATTATCTTCTATAAAGCTATATTGAAGTGCTCTCATTGGCACTATTTCAAAGGAGGATTATTTATCTAGAAGATTTACCAGTGCTCTAAATTTGAATACATCTAGCATTGATTTTACAAAACATGGATTGATTCAGAGAAATGCAGAGCACCTGCAAGAGGTTCTGGGTGTCCTTGTTTCCCCTCAGTCCTTCTGTTTGAGGCAGAGAAATTTTAAACAAAGGGTGATTTAAACACTTTGCTTAGCCGTGAGTTGTGCCAAACAACTTGAGAGACACTATGTAAATTTTTAGGCAAATTTTGTTTTTAAAGGTTGAGAAAAGTCAGTTAAATTGTAAATATACCACTCACCAAAAGGTTTTCTTGGAAAGTTTTAACAAAGGTCCAGGAGGCAGAGAACAAGGTATTTTTAAATGGTCTTTAATTACAGCAACTGTTTTACTGAAGCATTCTCAAACTGTTCAGAAACCCGTAAGCTATTATAAAATAAAATAAAAATAAAAATCAGAAAGCCCTATCATAAAGACATTATTTGATACCTGCAAGGAATGAACTTGTAAAACTACTAGTATAGGATTGCTATTCTATTTAAAACCCTAGTAAGTAAGCTAGTGAAAGTATGTTTCATGAAATGACCTTGAAATAACAATACTGGGGCCTGATTTTGGAGAAAGATAGACTTTAGTGGTGAATAGGATTTTGTAAGTCTTGTTTCCTGATATTATCCCTGTTCACATTACGACTTCCATTGTCCTTGCCCATGTGAATAAGTTTAATTAGTGTGCTTAGATGATACAAACACAAGTTCCAAGCGTGTGTTTGTATTACAAACAAATAAATGTACAGCAGGGATTTCACAGAGGGTACTGAAGTAAAAGAATTTGTGGTTTGGCTTTTTCCCCTTTCTTAAATCTTGGTTTGCATTTGGGTTTCACCAGCGTCACTGAAGAAACATCTACCCATTCAAAGGGCAGACAATGCTAAGGATCATTAAAAACATATCAGAATATTAGATAAAACAATACTCTAATGCATTTACAAATCAGATTTATTTTTCCCCACCTTGCTACTTGTTTAAGACCTAGCTGTCTTAAAGTTCTAGATAAGGGTAAGACCCCAGGAATTCCTTCAGACTTGGGCTACAAGTAAAACTACTTTTACTTCAAGTATAAATTTCTAAAGGCTAGATTATCAGAAGAGCTATGCTTTTTCTTTAGGCATCAAAAAGGTAGCCTAATCTACAGATGGACTCAGAAGTTCAAAACTGGCCTTTTTCTCAGTACCTGAATAGAATTGACCTCATTTGTAAAAACCCGTTCTGGTAAGAAGTGAAGATCACACAAAAATCCAGCTTTTACCTAGTGTTTGTACTGCAATATTTTTTGCTTCATTTTCAAGTACAACCAGAAACTCTCTAACCTTCCCCTCTTTACTATGCCACAGACCAGCTTTAAAGAGGCAAACAAAGGATTTAGTGAAGAAAGGGGACTACCCACACCTGATGGGTCAGTCCCATTTGATTAAATGGCAATTTTATAGAGGTTAAATCATTCACAGGTTAACCTAATGGCAATACTCTGCAGGTGTGGAATGTTTTAGGCTGCTGGATTCAGGGACAGCTGGACCTGCTGGCCATTCTAGCAGTTCATCCTCCTTTAAGGAACTATTATTTCCTCTTTAACCACAAAATATTAAGCAAGACCAAAAACCCATTTTGCCTTCCTAAGAGTCCTCAAGTATATTTTCATAGTATTTTAAATTATACAGTGCTAGCTCAGTCTTTGTGGTTGCCAAAGTCTTGGGGTAGAATTCCAGGGAACTGAGATTTAATGTCTATGATCTTATTCAGTGAGCAAATCAATGTGCTTCTGAGTATTGCTCAGGAGAATTCCTCCTGTTTCCTTTTTGCATTTTCTTTTTTCCATTTAACTCAATTTCTCTTACTGCTGTCATATTGGTGACACTGAGTATGAGAAGCACTGATTGCTACTTACTGACAATTAGGTATAAATAGGAAAGAAAAAGCAAAATTGCTACCAGTGTGCAACTGATACTAACATCCAACTACAGCACTCATGTTTAAAAGAAGGGCATTTTTTAAAAAGAGTGGGGTTTGTCGTATTCGTGTAATATTCAGTCAGCTCAAATAGTGCTTTTCTCCAGGAACACTTCAAGAGCAAGCAATATCTTTTGAGAAAACGGTATGATTATTTATATCCATATATTTATAAAATAATAAACTGAAGCTAGTGTTACAGGTGAAACACAGGAAAAGCTAATTTGTTTGTAATAAGGTGATTTATCTACGTTGGCAGCATATTATAAAGAAATTAACTTGGCCCAAGCATTGTTGGAGCCTCAGGTTGTTTTACTCAAATAGTTTACACTATGTTTATTTTATTGCCCATTTTATTTGTCTTCTTTCTAATCCTAAATTATTGTTGTCTTAAGCAAATGAATTGAAGGCAGAGGAATTATTCATATTAGGATAGCAAGCTGGATTTGGCACTAAAATATGTAAAATAATCAGGGAATAAACATTTCCATACCTCTTCGTCTGTTTATATGAGGGATAAAGTTATCAGAATCACCTGAGTGATTTAAAAGTAATTCACATTCTCAGAATTCAAAGGGATTTAGGCTTTGCAGTCTTTCCTGCAGCTCCATGAAAATATAAAAGACATTCCATATTTTCTCTACCCATGAATATTTTTGTATCTCGCTGTTCTTCCATCCAGCTCTTTCCTTCCATTTTTAAATTAGTGTTTGTGTAAGAGTAGTACCAAGACTTTTGTTCAGACAGAACTAGGCCAAACTAAAGCTTCATAATGGTGGCCTGTCTCTTCTTTCTGCCATTCAGTTACAAACGTGTACTAAAAACCTTTCCAACTTTCCCTTCCATGGAGATTTTCATCACAAAATGTAGCTATCTGCTGACGTGTATCAGCCTCTCAGTCTATAAACTCTTGGCTTTTATCTCCCTAGGACTGAAGACCATTGTAGGGGCACTTATCCAGTCTGTTAAGAAACTTGCTGATGTGATGATCCTGACCGTTTTCTGCTTGAGTGTCTTTGCCCTCATAGGCCTTCAGCTCTTCATGGGCAACTTGCGACACAAGTGTGTCAGGGACTACACCAAGTTTAACTCCACCAATGGCACATTGTACGTGGATGGTCGGATGTGGAACACCTCAGAGGAATTTCTTAGTGATCCGGGTAAGCTCTTCTTGACTCTGCTGTCTGGGTTTTGGTCTTTTAAAAATGATTATTATGAATTATTTATTATTGTTATTTATTGTTATTATATTAACAAAAACCTACATGTGAATCAGCAAATGCAGCATTGTGTGACGGAGGGGTTTTCATGATGTTGATGTGGTTTCAAAATATCTAGGTAGCTTTTTCTGATTTCTGTGGTTCCTTCACAGTTGATGCTAAAAGTATTTCTGGTGCTTTCCTATCATACAGGCTCGGGTCCTTATTACACCATTGATGATTTTCACAGTTTTAGGGTGTCTCACAATATTTTTCTTAAAGCTCCCTTTCCTGGAGTTACAATATTTTTCTTAAAGCTCCCTTTCCTGGAATTACACAACAACTTGAACATTTCAACTCTGTGTGTGGGTCTGGTTTACACACTGTTTCTTTAAGACAACTTACAGCTCTTGCATTTTCTAGCAAAACTTCAAAATTTGGAGTCTCAAAAAAATAAAAGATCGAAGCAGAGCGATTCAGTATTTATTAAGCTGAAAAAATCCCAAGAGCATTCTTTTAAGGAACTCTTATGCTATTAGGGCCCTAACTCATTATCTGGGTTGGGCCATCCTGCAGTATCTGGTGCTCTGATGTTTATTACCAAAAGGCTTGTTTTGTAGGCCAAAGCAATTTTTAATACTCTGTAGTCTTCTGTACTTTGAATAACAATGAAATAGGTTCACTGAACTAATCCATTAACATTTAAAAAAAAATAAGCATTTCGTGTAAGTAAACTTCAGAATGTAAACTAGTGTCAGCTATTGCTGCTCCAAAATTCTCTAAGTCACCCGAGGACCCACATACATTGCAATGGATATGGACTCACATCTCAATTCAGTCATGTTCTTGAAGGAAGGAAGCAGCTAGACTGATGTGCATCAGTATGAACTTATGCTCAGTGACCTTTGGTATTTTATTTATTTTGAAGAGAAGAATGAAGCACTTAGCAACATATTAACTGGAAATTTGATTGGAAGGAAGTGGTATAGTGTCACAGGGTACTTCTCCTCTGGCTCTGTGAACCCTACAGTCTTACATCTCCAGCCATCTGCACTAGAAAAGCCCTGTGCCTGACTCGTGAAAGTTGCCTGGTTTGACACAAGGCTCTCTTTAGTGCCTGGCACAAGCTTGACTCCAACTTCTGCTGTCTTCTTAGGATTATATGCCTTTTCAGCCAGGCTACATGGTCCACAGATTGTGCCAAAGACAGTCGTACCATTCCGCACTGGTGACTTCTGGCCTTTCTGCTCAATTCCTCTACCTGCAGTCTGAGAAGCTGTGAAAGCAGTAGTGTTAGAAAGGCTTAATTCCAGGAATGTAAAGCTCAACACTGGTGTCTTTCATGCATGATGTGGTTGATGCAGCATTAAGGAAGGGCAGCTCACAAAGCTCTGGCTGAATCTGGGTTGTCTCTCAGACTGACCTTGACTATGACATTTCTTTAAACTGAAAGACAATAGATTTAGAATAGACATAAGGAAGGCATTCTTTGCTGAGACACTGCCACAGGTTGCCCAGAGAATCAAGCTGTGGCTGCCCCATTCCTGGCAGTGTTCAAGGCCAGGTTTGACGGGGCTTTGAGCAACCCGGTCTAGTGGAGGGTGTCCCTGCCTGTGGCAGGATTTTGGGACTAGATGACCTTTAAGGTCCCTTCCAACCCAGATCATTTTGTGAATGTGTGAGGTTATGTGTCTTCTCAGTGTCCCTGTATCAGAATCTTTTGTCGGCTGAAAGGGGAAAGACCTCTGTGCCAGAGCTAAATAACCACACTGGACCTATGCTGACTGGTGATGAGCCTGCTGACATGTTTTCCCATGCATGCTGTCTGTGCTTCCAGCTTGGAGATGAGTGAGTGCTCATGGAGCAAGTAGATATCTGTGCACCTATGATGAAGTAAGGCACTTCATGGCTCCTCCATCCACAGATAACTGACAGCTGTGTGAGGTGTTGCTCTCCCTCTTTCAGAGGCACTGAGAGCTCATATGGGGATGGCTGGAAGTATAAAGCCCAGCAATAAAGGTGAAGAGGTGAAATGGAGCTGTAAAGATAGTCTGGCTCTCTGGAAATGGAAGTAGGGTAAAAGTACTGCTGCATAGTCTCTATAAAAATACAGTTAATGTCAGGGCCAACTGCAGCATTTCTTTAAATGGGTGGAATTGTACAGCTGCTCCAGCATACCATGAGCAAGTTTATTTGTGTGGTCCTGACACAAGGAGGAGAGAAGATGTTCCCATAAATCCATTTAGTAAATCCAGCAATGGTGAATATTGTCATGAAAGTATACTTATTATCACTAAAGAAGATTTACCTACCTCAAAGATGATTAACTTGGTGACATAATGGATTAAAGTGAATTAAAGTTTGACCACGTAGTGCTAATAGTAAGTAATAATACTATCAATGAATGTTTTAATGTTTTCATAATATTTGAAAATGAAGAGACAGTGCATCATGGCAAACAGCCGTCAGTTATTGTGGATGGAAAACAAGGGTGGAAATAGTTGAAGTGAGTCAGTGCAGCAGACCCCTGAAGATGCAGAAGAAAAGTAGGTTTATAGGAGAAATGTACTTACCTCTGAACAAGAATGGTGAAGTGTTCCTCGAAATGCTGGGGAAGGTGGCATAGCTATTAGGCTAGGAAGAAAAATATTAAGTAGGATTTTCATTTAATGTTGACTGTTGTACTAAAGCAAATAAGAAATGTAAGGACTGGCTCATTTTGTAACTAGATGGAATAGTGCTTTATATTTCATTTTGCGTAAGTATTATGGTGAAATGAAGTGACTCTTTAACAGAATAGTACTGACCACAATTTAATAAGAGTACAGATTTCAAGTACTGCAGGGAATTAAGCAATACATACAGTTAGATTAAAGTGTAGGCAGACCAAATTAGATAAAAAGAGGAATATATTAAGAAACAGAGTAGTGTCAGTGTTTATTCTGAAGAACTAGAGAAGAAAATTGGCCAACATGTTGAGAAGTAGAGTTCACTCAAAGGGAGCACAGACAATTACAAAAGCCCTCTGGAGATTTCAAAACCAGTGTGTCTGAGTCACTTACTTGGAGCAGGGATACCAATCTAAAAAGCAGAAAAAAACTTGAAGAGATTCATAATAATATTTGGAAAAAAAATAAGGCACGTAAAGAAATAAAGGTGTGAAAAACACTCAAAAGCAAAATTGGAAAAATGAACTGCTAAATCTGTCCATCTGGACACTAAAATAGAGAACCAAAAAAGAGTGATATGCCAGTTCTGCTCTTCTTGAAGAGTAAAAGTTTGCTTTGGATTCTTTGAGAGAGTTTTTAATGTTTTAAAGGACAGCAGGAAGCCTCTGAAATGGCACCAGCCTCCTCTTGTGCCTTTGAACCTTTTTTTCAGTGAATGGGGAAACAAAAACGAGTGAAACCCCTTAAAAGGGTAATACAGTGAAGAATTGCCTGGTGCTGCAGAGGAAATAGCTGAGAGGCTTAGTCACAATGTGCAAAGAAAGATAACAACTTGGGTTTCAGTCTTTCTCAGTCCTTTATATTGAGAGATAACTGTCTGACACAGGCACTTGGTACAGGAGACATTTTGGTTTTGTAGAAGGCCTGGGATAGCTTCAGCTATGCTTTTTTATTCAAAACTGACTTGTCATCTGGTCTAAATTGTACCAACTTTCCTTAGCAACTTTCAGCCCCCAGGCAGGAATTTTTTTCACATCTATCTAGGGGAAAAATGTCAGTTTATGAATTTTTGTGCATTATCATCAGCTTAACTGCAAATATGTGGTAACACTTGATTTTTGGTTGATCTTTGAGGAAATAACCACCATGCTCCCAGGGTTCAGGTGTTGTCATTGAAAGCTTAATTCTGTGAAAGAAACTTCCTCTAAGCTACTGCAGGTGCTTTCTCTCAGCAGTTATTGGGCACAGCAGTCATAATAAGGTGAGAGGGTCACCTTAATAGGGTGCTTGGTCTCTCCTCACCTCATAGAGGAGATGCAGATCTATAACCTACCTTTTGGTGGGCATGTCTATCTCATGATGAACAAGAGAATTTTTCTGTTCTTTCCTCCAATTTAAATTACTCTAGTTCTTCACAACTTGCATACCTACCGTAAGAACTAGGCTTATCAATGAAGTTATTCTCATCTGGTTTTGCCTCCAGTGAGCAATGCTTACCACTGCAAACATAGGAATGGGAAAAAGGCATATTAAGGCAGAGGCACCTTACCGGGTCTCCCAGCCTCCTTCACAGGGCCATTCTTTGCCGCTATGAATGGAGAGTGGGATAGGGGACAGATGAGCATTACATAGAATCAGGCTAAAAGATTCTCAATGTCAAGTGCTGATGGCAAAGTTAAAATGGAGGCACAGTTCATTCATCTGGGAAAACAATGACTACTGGTAAGTAACTTTTTTCCTACCTGAGGGACTACATTCAATAATATCAAGAAGGATTATTTAATAATTATTAATAATGACAGACCTTTGATTCTGAAGATATAGGTGCAGCAGTGCTCATACATAAAAATGAAATACAGAGGAAAAAATGTAGAAAAAATAGTGATACTTATGTCAACAGTATTATGAAAATTACGTAATGAATATATCAATATCAAAGTTATTGAGCTATCAGTTATCTTTAGGAGAGCTAATAGTTTAGAAATACCAGCTGATTTAAACCTGCAAGCTTAATTCCAATACTTGTAAAGTTTTCTAGGAAAGCAGCTTCAAATAGCATGCTTGAAAGCCTGTCTTAGGTTGTAGGGTTTAAATTAAAGATGTATTTGATGAAGTGAAGCTTTATGAATGTGTGAGTTACAGTGGGTTGAAAGCTACATGAAGTCAGATATGTCACTGGCTTAGAGGGAGAAAAGATGGACTGAGTGTATTTGATTCACACGGCTGATGACTGTAGAATCTTTAATGTCATTTATGTATTCCATTACTAAAATGGATTATTGACTAGCTAGT